CTGCAGCTCTGTCACTGACAGCCCTCGGGCAGGTCCTGCTGCTTCCCATCCACACCCACCTACAAGCCTTCCCCTCCAAGTGGTAGACAATCACAGAACCCCAGACTGGTTTGGGTTGGAAGGGACCTTAAAGCTCATCCAGTTCCAACCCCTGCCATGGGTAGGGACACCATCCACTAGAGCAGCTTGCTCCAAGCCCCGTCCAAACTGGCCTTGAGCACTGCCAGGGATGGGGCAGCCACAGCTTCTCATCCCTTTATCAATCCCTGGCTATGCAGGGACTGACACAACAGAATCAAACCTCAAAATAAGACTCAGGGTTGACGGTCTGCCTGGAGTGAAATCCCCCTTTACTTTACAAACAAGCTCCCTGTAGCCTGCCAGGAGTAGGTGTACTACCCATCAGTTGCCAAGGTCATATTCACCTCCTGTGTAAGTATAATGTGGATCATCTTTATCACGGATTGTAATGTGGTGTTTGCATTAATACTGGAAATGTAGTTCTTCCTTATCAAACCATTGTTTTGTTGTTGTGGGAAGTAGAAGGAGCCACTAATTGTGTTGTTTTGCTATAGAAAAACATCATGAAAGTCCTCGGAATGAAGATTTAGAGAGTTATAGTTGAAAGTGGTTCTAAGTTCTGAATACTTCTTCTGTAAGGGACCAAGATAACTTTAAATGTCCAAGACTGATAGGTTTCATCTGAAGTGAAGTAGTTTGGATAAAATGGAATTCAGATTAAAGGTCAACGTTGCAATCTTTTGTCCAGACTAAGGTAATTTGTGTAAAATGGGACTTTTCTGTGAATAATCCATAATTTCAGCTTTTGAGAAAGCAGACCTTAAACTTCTCAGACCATCTCTGTTTCAGAGTCATTCCTTACAGTGAATCGCTGTGGATAATGGCAAAGAATTGCTAAGCAGAATGTGATGTTAACCAATTTGTGAGATGCTAGGCAGAAGATTCCTTGGCAAGGAGCTCCATGCTGTATGCTACTTGCAGGCAAAGGCAGAGATGGCAAAGAAAAGAAGTGAAATCCTTGCTCTTAGTTTCTTTGTGACTCTGCCTGTCTCCATTTCATCAATTAGAAAATTGCCCATTTATTCTCTGTCTGTGTCTCCTTTCATCTAGGAGACGGTTTTTTTCTCCTTTTTTCTTGGAAGCAAAGGTCTAATTGTATAGCTAAAATATCATCTTTGCCCTTTCCGGGGCTGTCAGTTTGTCATTGGTGGATAGATGGACAAGAATATTGTAAATGTCAGTGTGAACATGGCTTAGGTCTGGGTTTTCCTCATTTTCTTCAGATTTCTTTTCAGCAGACAGATGAGTCGAATCACTTTGTTCAGCGCTGGCGTTTCAGCAGCACTGGCTCCTTTGGTGGCAATGATAAATGGATCCAAGATATGAAATAGCTGTTCTAGCAAAGTCCATTGAGCAGAATAGAGAACAATGCCCTCCTCAATGTCATTGTACATGATATATTCAATGATTGCCACTTTTTGCACAAGAATGTGTTCAATCAGCAAGGTACATAGAAATCCATAGTGTTGCTTCAGCTTGAATGAGCCTGTGAGGTGGCACAGACCTTTACTCAGCTTGATTTGGACCAGACTCTCTCAAGCTATTAAAATGGGCTCAAATTAGAGCTGTAACCACATAGGGTGTCTGATTTTTGAAATGTGGCATTGGGATCAGGCTCATTCTGCAGGTGCTGCAGATGATGTGCTGTGCATTTGAACTTGCCCTTGCTTCAGCTGGGGCAGGTGATTTGGGAAGTACAGCCAATATTTAGCCCTGTCTTCAGTTTTCCTTTTCTTCTGTAAAATACAGCAGCAATTAAGCCTCAAATGGGAATTGGAAAGTTGTTTTTCTGCTTCCCACTGCAGTTGTATGTGTGTGTACTCCATATTGCAGGGAACACATCTTACGCACTCACAATCCAGGCCAATAGCAGTGATTTCAGAGGTTTAAGCTGGGGCGGAAAGCAGAGATTTCTGCTTTGTCGCTACAAAGATCTTTGAGTTCATATGTTCCTGCCTTACCTGGGGTTGAGTTTAGGAATATCTGTTTGAATTTTGACTGCAGGGCACATGTGAAAGTGCAAGTTTATGGGTTACTGATTCTGAGCAGCACTTGTTGAGCATGAAGCTGCAGAAATATTGGACAAGGAAGCACGTGTGTGTCAGCCGATGTGCTGGCTGCTAGCCTGCACACGTCAGTTATTAAAGGTGTTTGAACAGTTTAAGTGATAACTATGGCCACTTTGAGCAGTTATCTGTCTGTTCTCATTAATACCCCTGACAAGAAATTAGGAGCAACCTTTTCCATATGTTTTATCTGTGGAGCTAGTTTTGAGCAAGCTTTATGCATCCCTTGCTTTGGATTTGGTTTGTAGTGCTGTAGGTTCTCTGGGAAAACTGCTCAGAGCCCATTCTGCCCAGTGCAAGACTTTCAAAAGCATAAACCAGGCATTTTGAAGAGCCCGTACTGGAGGGACCTGTCAGGCTGTGGTTTAAAGAAGATCTCACAGCATTTTGTGCCATGATCATTTGAAAACTTGGCCGTATGTGGGAGCTGTGGGTGCTCAGCAGTTTTGCTAATCTGGCTTTCATCTCAGTGCCTAAATGATGCTGAGGGCTGGCCGGGTGGGTGGGTTTTCCATAATGTAGGCCAGCTTTTGGAAGATTGGCTCCGGGCTGTGCTCACGCCTGGCCCTGGGTGACTGTAATCAGTCACGACTTGTGCTCAGTGTGGAGCTAGAAGTGCCTTGAGCCTGAGATTCGCAGAAAGAAGCCTCTTTGTGTTCAGGTGTAAAATGTGTCTGCAGCCTCCTTGTCACGTTATCACTCACAGCTTCCAGTGAAGCCAGTGGCAGCTATCCAAAAATCAGGTCGTGCTATCTCTGAATGATAGTTTGGATTCCCAGTGATTTGCAGAATATTTGGATGCAGCATGTGCACAGAGCTGTGGATTCCCGAAACCAACCATGGGAGAGCACTGAAAAATTATCTTTTTGTAATAGGCACAAAACACTGAAACTCAGCCCAGAGCAGAAGGCCAGTTGAAAGCATTTGCATCACTTCAATTCCAAAACAGTCTGGTGCTGTGAGAACCACAAAGCACTTAAATCATTTTACTTTTGTCTATGGCCCTGGGAGGCAGAGAAACGTGAGAGGAACCGAGCAAGCAGTGCAGGCTCGAGTCTCCAAATTGACCAGTAATTCTGAATAATCAACTTCACGGTTGTCAGCTTCGGTTTCCAAAACCTGTCCTGCAGCAGTGGTTAGCAGTAAGCCTGCAGACGATGGAAACACCTTGTGCTTAGCACTTCTGGGATCAGAATGCATCCAGAAATGTAAATGAGCACATCAGACCAAGAGCCACTGGGGAATGTGTGTGCAAGTGCAGTGCCCAGAGTCCCTACACAGCAGTCTCAGGCATGGGAAGAACATCCAGTTGCTCCAGTTCAGTTTCCAGCCTTAGAAGCAAACCTCTTCCTTCTTCTGCGAGTCTTTTTGGAGGTATCCCTGCACATCAGTTGTCTGGTTGCTTTTTCCATAGACCAGAGGCAATCTACATATTTAATCCTTAGGGAAAATTTAGCTTAAGGTGGATATGCATGCACATGCAATGTGTGTGCCCACACACATGTACATACTACATGTAGCTATAACCCCAGTGCAGTGCATAAAGCCCTTTTCTCCCATCCCTCCTTCCTTTCCTACAGCTTGTCCATAAAACCCTGCTCTTGGAACAGGACAGAGCTGCTGGACAGTGAGTCCCTTCCCTCGCACCCCACCAACAAAACCTCTTTGTGAGTGAAATAGATGCCTTGTGTGTGCAGCACCACTGGCATTTCACACAGTGTAGCTGGAAGCAGGCTGGGCAAACGTTGGGAGCTGTTTGCTGAGTGCATTTATTGCTTTTGCATAATTTATGAACTGGAGGGGTTTGACCATCATTTGTCTCTGCCAGAGGCTGGCACTGAGGGCTCTGGAGGCTGGAGCTGTAAATTGGATGGTGTGCTCCTGCTGAGCTCACAGCAAAGTCCTCGGGTCAGTATGGGAATTTAATACCGGGAATGGAAGTGTTTTCTCCGAGTGCCATGTGGGCCTCGGTGCAGCAGAGGCTTTTTTGGCAGGCACGGTGACTGGCCAAATCACGGAGCTGTCAGTCACTGGGCATGTTGTGAGGGGAGTCGGAGCATTTTTAATCGGCTTGGCATCCATGCTGCCTCCATAATGGACACCAGTAGGTCTCAGTCCTTCGCCATATGCTTAACTCTGGAGACAAGGTGCTTCTGGGTATAGCAGTAATTATTTGATGTGGAATTAAGCGGACCTTGAAATTAGAACTGGACTGTCGGAGAGCAGCAGCTTAACACTTTGATGGAAAGAGCTTCCCACCAACAGTGCTCTGTGCATTTTCTCTGCAGATTCACTTGGATGCGGGGAACTGTTTCGCTGGCAAATTCAGATGTCACTGCTGGCAAATACTCTTCTCCCCAGGTACCTCCATACTGCAGGAAACACAAAACGCGGAGCTCTTTCCAAGCTTATGAGTCAGGGAAAACTTAATCCACAGCAGAGGAGAGATTCCTTAAACCAGACAAAAAATGATGGGTGAAGGAGATCTTCACGTGTGCCCCAGCAGCAGGAGCGATGGCGTGCTAAAACCTGCTGAACCCTGCTGCTAGAAGAGAATCATCCTTGCTTGCTTATATGTCCACTTTTTACCCCCATTCTTTCTCCTTTTGAATTCAGAACTGCTGGGTCCTCCTGGCTGTAAGCAAGCAGCGGATTCAAGTGCTGTAGACCAAAACCTGATTTTTTCCCAACAATTGTAAAATAGAGATAATAAATGGGGATTCTTTGTGACACGCTGTGATTCCCATATGTGTGTTTGCTGTTTTGTACAGGTCGGGTCTTGCTTTGCAAGCATACTTTCCTATGCTTACCCTCATAGCAGAATCTCGTACTTGTAGTCATGCTGAAGTCAAAATGCGCTATATTGCCAGGGTGAGGCTATGAGTGCTTTATATAAATGGCATACTGTTCTAGAAATGTGCAATGTTCCTGTTGTCAGTTAAGCACACTCTCTTCATTAACTTAAACGTTGTGTGAGGGTTTCAAAATCCAAGCTGAAACTGTTTCATATCTTCATATTCCCTCTCAATTGTTTGTTGCCAGAGTATTTAGGTGCAGCTCATGCTGTATAAGTCATTTCAGTTATGAAGTAAATTTCACTTCCATTTCTGTTTGAAATTATCTGAAAGCAGATTGCAATCTTGTCTAATCATTGCTTCATGTAAAGCTATTTGTAAAGTACCTAGAAATAGCTCTTTGCTTTAATTTGTTTGTATGTAGCTCACTGGTGTGGGGAAGGCCTCTACTAATGAAAATAAGTCAAAAACCAGTAAACCAGGGAAGTTGTAAGAATACACAGAAGGTGACTTGATTTGTGCAAATCAAATACACACACTTGTGGGTGCATTTGATTGTGTGTATCCACATCCCACTGTAGAGTTAACCTTTAGAATTCACTAAGTAGTTTCAAAGCAGTTTGGTTGTCTTGTGAAAACACTCACAGATGCATTAAACAGGATACAAATGCAGGAAGGGCTTAACTGGCTGCTGCAGCAACATGATCAGCTGGTCCTTGCTTTAGGGAAGCCTGATTCTCCTCTTTAGTGATCTTATGCTGTCCTTCGAACCATCTGCCATTAGATCTGCAGAGGTGTTGGTTCACCCTTGAATGAGCCTCACAGCCCCACTCTCTAGAGTGTAAGATTGTAGGTTAAAAATAACCACACAGAAGGAGGTGTTTTCCTCATTCTTCTGCTGTGGGGGTAGCCAAGTATGACCCCTCCATAGTCACCCAGAATTAGGTGGGATGAATGAAATCTGTGTCTGAGAGGAGCAGTGAGTTGCATGGTCCTTACAGTCCTACAGCTTTTACACTTGTAGTGAATGTTAATGTGGTTTCCTGATGCTTATCTGTACTGACACTCGATTCATCTAGTCCTGATGTATTTCTACAACAGTAAAAGTTATTAAAAAATGGAGCAATGGCACTTGATGAATATCAAGACCCACTACCGTTACTGTTCAGCATTTTATAGGATTATAAGTGTTTACTGTGATACCTGGGCTTGAATTACAGAGAACCTCAATGAATCAATTAATGTGTCGTGTTCTGGCTTCCACTGGGACCTCGGAATTGTTTGGTTCAGCAACAGTAAAGGCTGAATCCTCCAAGTAGTCCTGGAAAATAAATGGGAGCCTTGCAAATGCTTCTCTTGTGGGAGAGACAAACCTGGTTCCGTACCCTCCTATCTGCAGAGCCTTTGAAGCTGATGTATTGGCAGGTAGTGTGAGAAATGCTGTCTGTCAGAAGAGAACAAAACAGCCCTTTAATACTGCTTTTCTTCTTCTCTGATCCAGTTTTGGAGTCTAACGTGCTCATGCACCGTCAGCTCCTGTGCAAGTGAATGGAGCTAACAGAGGGCATTGCAACTACCTTTTGTGGTGTTCAGTCCAGTTTGTTCGTATTTCAAACATACAAATGCATCATCTCAACAACAGTGGGGGGGAAATTTCCTCCTATGCAGTAATTGAGCTTTTCCCCAAAGGAACCAGGTTTGATGCCACAGGGTTTGAGTGCTTCAGCCATCTTCTTCATAGAAATCTCTGACTTTTTTGCTGTACAAGTTTCTCTTACCTGTGTCTTTGTTTCTTTTTGTGTTGCAGTGTGACAGCGACAGTGATCAAGAAGAAAAGGTAAGAAAAGAAATCGCTAAGGGAGCAAAAATAATTTGTTGGATTTGTTGCATTCATTTATTCCTCTTAAACTGTTACTTATTCCAAGTTTCTTTTGGGATTGATCTAAAGCATCTCTCTACAATGAAAATACTTCGTTTCCCTTAATTTAATTTTGGAATAGACTTCCAAGGGAAGAGAATTCGCATTAATATTTTGGAGGCTCCACAATTCTTCCTCAAGCATATTGATGCCATGGTTTGTGTGGGCTGTTTATGAACACCAGTCTCACTACCAACCCTTTCTGTGGCAACATTTTCCCTTGGGAATTTCTAACAGCAACCAAATATGTTTATAACCCTCACATTTGCACTCTTTAACAGTTACTTGACCACTGTTATCGCCTGTTTTGCTTCTCTGCAGGCAAGGGTCTTCAAACTCAAATTGAAGTGTTATGGTTGATATATATACAGATCTGTCTTTTTAAAAACAACATTTGGAAACTGTACATTGAGTCAAGTGATACAACTTGCTGATAATTCTCTTGATAACTTCGGGTTCCTAAGTGGAAAAAGGGAATAATGTCACACTGAAAAAGTCAGGCACTGATCTGTAATGCTGCTTATTGTTCAGAAGACTAATGGTAATGAAGAAGTAATATTTATTCTGATGCACATTTTGATGTCTTATTTAATGTTGCGAACAGACTAACATCTACCTTCCTTCTTTGGCGAAAATGAGATAATACTTGCATAAAACTGGTCTAATTTCTTTATTTGCAGGTTAGGTTTTGTGATTTTCAGTTGGGCGTTGAGCTTTAAGGGATGTTTTAATAATATAATCACTTTTGCTTCCTCTTTCACTCGATAAATTGAGGGATGGAAGTTAGGGGAGGACAAAATAATGTCAGATAACGTCATTCATATAACAGCATTGAATTGCTTGGAGTTTCATGGGTGGTTCTGTGAGCTAGGTCCAGGTCAAACCAAGAAGAGAAATGACCAAATTGGCATGCAGTTTGTACAACAGAAAAGAACAAATATGTTGTAAAATCCACAACACAACAATGAATATAGAAATTACCATTCATTAATTTAATTAATTTTCTATAGGATTTGTATAGCAGGAAGCCGAGGAGATTTTCAACCCATTCTGTACAGAACTACCAAAGCTCTACCCTTCAGCTTGTTTTAGTGATTTTCCAAGTAGAGATTTTTTTCCCCCATGTTTCTTAATAATTTGCTAACTGTGTTAAAGAACCACTATTTACTTTGAACCGCAGTGATTTCCCTTTCATAAGGGAACTAATCACTGGAGTTAATCAGTGTGACAACAGAAAGAGGAGGTTTTGTTGGGTTTTTGCACAGAATATTAACCTGCACTTTTAGAGATGAATTTTTAATGCATTACCATTACATTCCATCCTGTGAAGCGATTATTCATTTTCAGGATGTTCCTTATGCAGTGGAAGATGATAAACTGAAATTCAGCTCCCATGTTTATGGCACCCTGAACTAGAAGTGTAATTTCCTGCCACCGCTTCATTTACAGAGCTAAACCTCTGCTCATTTCACAGTATTTTTCTCTCATAGCTGTATAAAAAGGCAGAGAGGCAGCTTTTGGGGATGGTGGTGGTGTGCTGGTTCAGGATAGTTTCGACGACACAAAGCAAGGGAGACTCAAGGTTGTACCTCACACAGAATATCCCAGTACTTGTGCAGGATGCATTTAAAATCCAGATGTGTATTTCATCTCTGTGATCTATATTTTGTCTTCCCCACTAATGAAATGAGATTAAGTGCAGATCCAAATATCCCCAATAATTTAGTAGTTTTCAAATCCCAGAGCCAGAGCAAGCTTTGAATTTCAGAGCTCAGGCCCAGTTCTAAAAGACGACAGCTAACCCTGGTGTATTTATTCAGGCTGCTCTGGAAGCCTAGGCAAAGATCTAAAGGCCTTGTTCTGCTGTTAATTTGAATTCAGCATATGTAGCCTGTTATAAAATGCGAGACATCATCATTTGAGCAGGTCAGGCATATTCAGATGAAGACAAATGGTGCTTATTTGATTTTTTAAAATCAGGAAATGAAAAAAGTGCTCTCTGGAGAAATCATGTTCTGCCTGACTTAGATGATAGACCAAGGCATGTACCCCAGATAAGAACAGGCGCTCGTCTTGCGGGTTTTATCTCTGAAGGACGGTCGGGACTGTCAGCTCGCTGACATGTGCATTATCCATGTCATTTTAAACAAAGTGACCTGTAGAAAAGTGCACTCTGCCGTGACATGATAATGGGCTGTTGGATGACAGGTAAAGTACACACTATAAAGGAGGCTGTGCGTTATTCCTTTGTTTAACTGACAAGTAGAAACTTCTTTTCTTCAGACAGGCAGGATCTTTTAGATCTCTTTCAATAGGACCCAGAAGATTTTTCAATTCCTGCTTTAAATAAAATAACTTCTTGGTTTTGGACCAAAACTTCCTATAAGCAAAATGCACTGGGAGAAGTGAGGGTGCCAGACCTCTGGGCAAGAGATTGATGCTTTCAGAAATAGTGCTCAGCATCCTCAGGTTTCATTAATAACCATAGGAGCTGAGGGTGCTCAGCAGGATTAGAAGTTTTAAGATCCTTGACCCACACATTTTATATCATGATGAGGGTATTAGCCTCTGACTGTGGAGCTGTTCTAGCAGTGAATTGTCAAATTGCTCGTGGTCGGTCCTAGGTCAGTGTGTTCTGAGGATTGTGGAGTTATTCTGCTCCCACCAGAAACATTTTTGCCTAAAATGTTTCTGGGAAGAGGAGATCTGCTTTTCCTTAGGATTACCTCTTGCAGAGTTTGATATCCTGAAGCATACAGAATATGGTGTATTTCTGCAGCTGAACTCTGCACTTGCTGTGCAGAAAATGGAATCAGTTTTACTGCATTTAGTATTTTTGAAGACAGTCCCACACTGGTCCTTCATTGTGCCTGGGAAATAAGAGATCCATGAGAGGTAAAAGTAATGCAAGACAGGTACATACTTCTACTAGAATAAATAAGACCTGGAATCCAGAAAGATAGACTAGTGCTTTTGAATGAAAACCAGCAGATCAGGATGATGAAAGGTGTGCGACAGGTCACGGTGGCTGAAAGACAGGTTGGTTCAAGCATGTCTAGATGGACCACAGTGAAGTAGGAGAACACAGGAAGGAGCGGGACATGGGAAGCTGAGGAGCAGATGAATAGTGAGTGGTGACAGAGTAGGAAAAGTAATGTCTCCTAGGCTGTAAGTATGACTTTTTTTTTTCCACACTTGAATACGTATCTATCTGGCTGCGTAAATCGTTGTTGATATCTGATCTCTATTAGGTGATGGCTGTGCCTCCAATCCATCTTCCCTCGCCTTTAATTGGGAGCCGACAGACAGAGCCACTTTCTGTCTGTGTCTGCCCTCAAATGAGACATTTCTCCAGAGGTTTCTCTGGAAGAAGAAACAAGGATATTTAATTGAAAAATGAAGCAGCCCCTGCTTAGCAGTACTGTAGCTAAGGCTGTGTCAGCATCTCAATTTAAAATGACATGTTTTGGGTGGATAATTTGTCTATTTATATAGATTCATGCCTCTTCATTCCGATTTGGCACACAGCTCCGGACTGGAGCACTCAAAGTAGGCATTTCACTCTCCTGTTGCTAAAAAACCTGAAGTGGTTACAAGTGTGTCTGTGGAGGGAGAATAGATTTGGGAGACTTGCATCAGAATGTGAAGCACTAATTCTTAGAGAGATGTCATTTTCCATCCTGGGATCCTTTCAGCAAATGCCATTGGGATTTCTTACTGAATCAGAAAGAAGTCTGGATCCCTGGGGAGCTCAGATTTTCTCCATTAAAAAGTCTGTCAGTCTTACAGTGAGCAGGTCTCCAGAGCTCATAATCTAAAATTAGGGCAAGCTATCGCACAGCTGCCAAACTTAAGTGCAACTGTATTATCTTGATAGCTCCATACAAGCTTTAAAGAGATACCTGTGTTAATTAATACAATATTAAAACCGTAAGTGCAAACACACTGGAACCAAAAGGAAGCCCTGTTTTGAAAAGCTGTACAAACAGCTTTGATATGGATGTCAAGTGCTAAAGACGAGGTAAGGAGTAAAGTCCGGTTTCATTCACCATCCCTCCCATTTCTCCTCACTACTCTTTAATTAAGCAGGTCTTAGAATTAAGGCTCAATCTGAGGCACTTTAGTGATCTTTCACGTCTTAGGAAAATATAATCACTGATCAAGGGGGCCTGCTTTGCAATGTGCACAGGGTTACTTACATCTGATTCAAGAGGAGAAGCCTGCTTCTCACTTGAATCTTATCCAACTTTGATAGCGTGTACAGTTTAGAAGATTACTGCAGTTGATGACTTAATTCTGTGTATATTTTAGTAGTACCCAAGCAGTTCCCTCTTGATGAGGCTCTTGAATCCCATTCAAATGTATTCTTCCAGGAGCCAGCAGTGTCTGCCTGGTTCCAGCTGCAGCCCCAGCACTGCCCAGTGTTCTACTGAAACAGGCTTTGCTTTGGGATGTCATGTACGATGCAACAGAGGGGGAAAGAGACCAGTTAAACCAGTGACAGAATAACAAATTCCACCCCAGCTTGGAGGGGGTTAGGATGGGTGGATGTTGTGTTGTTGGGACGGAAGCCTGTGCTGGTGGGATTGGTTATTTTGCTCTTAGGAAAGAAAAATAATGTGCTTTGAAAGCACCATGAGAGCTGGGGAATGGTGTTTCTTCCATCAGAATGTTTTTAATGATAATGCTGATACATTTGATTGCCTATAAACCAGCTATAAACCAAAGATTGTGGCACAGAAAACATCATAGATCATTCTGGTATGCTCAGATCAAGGAAATGTGGGGGGGTTGTGTATATCTGTAAGCACACAAAAGCATTTATGCCTGTATCCTATGTGTGGTTTTGAAGTGCTTTTGGACTACTGTTTCGTGTATGGCCTTTGGAGAGAGATTTTGGAGTAGTGCTTTGGCAGATG